TCCTTCTATACAGCTAGCATATCACTATGAAAAAGCAAAATACTATTGCTGCTATTTTGTCATAAAACTCTGAAAAGAGATGACTTAAGTGGCCAAAACTGCTCACATTCACGAGTTTTACTATTCAACACTAAATCATGATAAAAAGTCACATTACTAAATGCCAATTCTTCTCTCTGAAGAAAGTGGTATATGAAGTGATAACCCTGCTGCAATTTCTTTTACCTAAAAAGCAAGTAGACCATTTCCTGCAGCTATAGTTGTTGATGCTTTGATCAGAAGGAAACAATGCAATGTTTCTAGGCTGTAATGGCTTAAAAAAACAACCAACCAACAACAAAACATAAAACACTTCTGCTATAGTGGTTTTTCAGTGACAAACAGCAACACACCTGTATCAAGTATGTCCTCTGTACATCAGTGCTTTCATCTAGCTGAAAAACAAAATATCTACTAGCATGTGCATATGACAGTAATTGCTTTTCCAGATGGCATGTCTTTAATAAGGGATTTGTGCCAAAAGCTCATTTTACTTTCTCTTCAAGCATAATATTTGCTATTAACTTTCAAACTGGTTTTACGAGCCTCGCAATAGTAGTGAGTAGACCTGTTTTTTGATATGAAAAGGATACCTCTGAATGATAGAGTAATGTGGTCCTCTCTGTCTTAGCAACAACATTCATTAATTTCACACTAAAAAGCAGCATTTTTCACTATTTTACACACATTTCATTCTTCATCACCTCTAAAACTTAATTATTACAGAAAAAGAAACTAAGAAATATTAATTCTCCCAACGTAGCATAAAAGTAAAGCTTCTGCTCTTTCCATCATAGCATGGAAAAAACTGTAGCAGGAATATCCATTCCCTTCATATAATTTGTCAAAATTTGTTTTCAAATGTTTTACTGAGTCCAGAAAAACATTTTTAAAAGGTACCATTTTAACTTAATGTAAACTGTAATCCAGGACATATAACCTTGCAAATGTTCTAGGGCCTTAACTTGCTGTCTCAAGTACTGACTTTGTTTTGTTCTTATGCCCCAGAACAACAAAATCCCATATTCTTTAAGTCTGAAGTTCAAATGTATTATATAACTCTTCCAAGCACAAATTTGTGAGATTTTCACTTCATTTTCAAAATGGAAAATGACAACTATGAATAGGGGCTATCATATTGTGAACATTTGAAAAACAGTGGGGAGATATGAGAAATTGATAAATGGCCAAGTGTAGTGGTTCATGCCTGTAATCCCAGCACTTTGGGAGGCCATGGCAGGTGGATCACCTAAGGTCAGGAGTTCAAGAACAGCCTGGCCAATATGGTGAACCCCCCGTCTTTACTAAAAATACAAAAATTAGCCAGTTGTGGTCATGCACTCCTGTAATCCCAGCTACTGGAGAGGCTGAGGCAAGAGAATCACTTGAACCCAGAAGGCAGAGGTTGTAGTGAGTCAAGATCATGCCACTGTACACTCTAGTCTGGGCAACAGAGTAAGACTCTGTCTTAAAAAAAGAAACTGATAAGTAATAAATTCCTAATTTAAAAATGTAAGCAACCTAATTTAGGCTACGTGGCACTTTTACACAACCAATTAGCAAATTCAGTTGATGAGAACTTCCTGTTCCCTAATCTTTACTTTTGTTAAGGTCTGAATATAGAACTTAAGTATATTACTTAGAAAGGGATTCTAGATTGTGATTTGATGCGCTCATCTTATGACTGCACATAAATGGCCTCAGATGGGTGTATTTAGTCTTCCTAGCCCAAGAGTAAGCATTCTGAATAAAAGACACCTTCAACTTCATTTATAATGAAGTTACAGAATAATTTATATTCTGCCCCATATCTAGAATCATTCTTTGCAAAGCTTGGGCAGTACATTAATGTTCCTAAGTGAAAGTAAGATGAAAAGATATACTTAGAAAAACAAGTAAAAATGGCTCTGGTACTAAGACAAATTATATATTTAGTCATCATTACTATTTGAGTTCAAATGACCTCAAGAAAACAAAGTACAAAACATCTACAGGTTGCCAGGGAGGTGTTAAAACTTATCATCAAAGTAACCTCTTTTTCATATGCTACTTGAACTGAGATAATTTTTCTTTAGCAAAAATTGCTGAATTACACTAACCCCTACCAGGAGGTAATCCATTTATTGTGGTTGAGCAGTCTTAGTGATGGCAGCAGTGGCCCATCTAGAGCAGTGCAGTGGCGTAAGTGGGGGCATGGCTGTGTGCTCCACTGAGCTGGCAGGGGCTAGGAGCAGGCAGAAGCTCCATGCTCCTGGGTGTGGCTACGGCCACCCAGCCACCACTGTGGACCCAGGCTTCTCTGCACCAAGGAAGGCCCCCCATTCCCCTGCAGGCTCAGAAGTGCCTACTCCCACTGCCTGGCCTCTTCCTGCTCCCAGCACTTGCTCCAATCTTGGAACAAAGTTGAGGCCAAGCCCAGGCACTGCTGCAACCCAGTTGGGTGGGCGCAGATGAGCACAAGAGGGAAGCCAAGGAGGGGCTCGATGCTGGCCTGCAGATGCCCCTCAGCAGGAACAGCCTAGGCACCAGAACAGTTGTAGGAGGCAGAGAGGCTCTTGGGCAGAATAGGGTAGATCCCTAGTGAAGCCTCACCTTCAAACCAGGGAAGGCCTCAAGCCTGGGGGCCAGGCTGCCAGTCCTGCGGACCAGAATGGAAACTTACAGTGCTTTCTCTGGGCCTGCCCATAGCTGCCCATGAACTAAGTAGCATGCACCTCAACCACTCAGAAGCCCATAAAAATCCTGGACTCAGCCAACTTCGAGGAGAGGATAGGAAGACCAGCTACAGAGAGGAGGTACCCACTTCAAATCCAGGGTCTCTTGTCTGCCAAAAGCTGAGCACTTATCAGGACACGCTGGCTACAGAAAGAAGCTACCCACTGCAAGTCTCCTCTGAGCTATTCTATCACTCAATAAAACTCCTGTTCACCTTGCTCACCCTCCACTTATGCATGTTACCTTATTCTTCTTGGGTGTGGGACAATAACTAGGCACCTGTCAAATGGCGGGGTTGAAAGAGCTGTAACACAAACAGGACTGAAACATGCTCCTTGCTCACCACATTGCGGGGGACAAGAAGGAGAGAAGAACTGCAGTTCTTCAGGGAGCCCAGACCTAGGAGTTCCCCAAGCCAGGGCCGTGACACCCTCTTTGGGGCTCTGAGATTCCTGGCATCTCCAAGCTTCCAGGCGCCACTGTGTTTCCTGATGCCAGCCAGGGAAGCTGTGTGTGGTAAACATGGTCCAAATGCAGCATGCAGGGAGCCAACACCCATGCTGATGCCTGGAGTTGCCTGCTCCCGCCACAGCCAGCGTGCCTGGCTGTGCACAGTGGCCGGACCCCATGCTCACTCGCTCACACACCCCTCACCACTCTGCTTGCCCTTGGCAGGCATGGGATCCAGGCCAGTAGTATGAGCTGTGCACAGCCTGCCAGGCTGATTGTGCCCAGTGGACCCAAGCAAAACTCAGGCAAAGGCACCACCAACCACAGAAGTTTCTGGCTGGTGATAAACACCCCAAGGATCCCGTGACATTAGGATTTCTAATATCACAAATTCTTATTATTTTGCAATTTATGCGTTACATAGTCTTCTTCTAAAACAGAAATTAAGAATCCTAGTAATAAGTGATACATTTTTACATTTTTCTCAGGTTTTTACCTTCTCTATAGTCTAGCAAAATATTAATTTACAAAACTCTGTAATATTTTCAGAGAAATCAATAAACTTTGACCTGTCCCCTAAAATATTTTCCATACTTTCTACCTATTTGGAAAAATATAGTTAAAATAAAAACATATTGTTTTTGTTTTTGTTTTTGTTTTGAGACTGAGTTTCGCTCTTGTTGCCCAGGCTAGAGTGCAATGACACGATCTCAGCTCACCACAACCTCTACCTCCTGGGTTCAAGCAATTTTTCTGCTTCAGCCTACCAAGTAGCTGGGATTACAGGCATGTGCCACCATGCCCATCTAACCTTTTAGTAGAGATGGGGTTTCAATATGTTGGTCAGGCTGGTCTTGAACTCCCCACCTTAGGTGATCCTCCCACCTTGGCATCCCAAAGTGCTGGGATTACAGGTGTGAGCCACCATGCCCCACCAAAAATATTTTGTTTTTAAAATAAAAACCTAACTCACGTTCCCTGTTTGGAATTTATGTATAAAAACACCGAACTATTTTTGCTTTCTGTTGACATTATATTTCCTTTTTGTTTTATTTCTTATGTAGTCTTTCAAGTGGGGGTCCACCTCATGTTTTGGAAGTATCACCTAACTCTTTAATTAGATATCTTGCTTTTCTGGTCCAAGTAATTCATTAGATCCCAAAGGTCCTACAGGGACAGCCTCCGAGGAGTCACAGTGACACATATTGGTGAATAGAAAATCCTTAACAATAAGTTTAGGAGGAAAGGCGAGTAAGGTTTCAAACCATCTAAAGGACAATCAATAAGGTCTCTGACATCATGCAGGTGGACTCAGAGTGCTGCATTCAGTTGCTTATCTCAGGGGTCATAATGTAAATAAAATAATTATTAAACTGACATTTATTCCAGTTCTTCTAATCTATAGAGACTTAATCTACACTTAATGCATTTATTATAATTGACATGCTTTCCTAATTTTAGTAAATATATTCCTTTCAAATCTGGATCTTGTCTACAGCCATACCACCCTGAACATGCCTGGTCTCAAAAGCTAAGAACAGTTGGGCCTGGTTAGTACTGGTTGTGAGACCACATGAGAATACCAAGTACTATAGGCTTTTGAAAAAAAAAATCTGGATCTTTTCTCAGTTGATTTCTTTGGGAGTATAGTGGGAAAGGAGGGAAGTGAACTTTTCTCTAAGAGCTAAGCATTCTAACATAAGTACTTTTAAACTTACCAAACCTATGTATAGAAATCAACACTATAAAATGACTACTAAGGAGTCAAAACTGAAGTAAAATTGTGCCTCAAATACCTTAGAATAAGTAGAAATTTTAAATGTTGGTAACTTCATTTGGAAGCAAAGTTGCCTACTGCATGATCTTGCTTGATGGTCCTTGATTTTATCATCGGAGTCAGTTCCAGTTACATTTCCGTTAGTATCGATAGATCTAAAGCAGGAAAGAGAAGACACATTTAGGCCATAGAAAACATTACAGATTTTAGGTACTGTGACACACCACTGTTACCCTGTAAGCATACAGATGTTCTGGTTATTCAAGAAATGTCAATTATCATTCTTGTCACTAGCAACAAGTTTTAAAAAATTAAATATTAAAGGTATAATAGATAAATATATCAACTTGACAAAAGGTAGTTGCTGGCTTTTTTAAAAGCTTAGAACACCAAAGAAGGTATGCAATCAATTGGGGCTTGCCTTGGTATCCCAGGGGAGTTGCTGAAGTCACCTCAGCAGCAGTAGCCTGAGTATCCAGTTTTAGGTAAAGTGGAATAGTAACAGGAAACAGGGTTCCCAGCAGCACTCTGTAATAAAGCACCTGATATCATGACTATTATTCCGTCCTAGGCCACTGGAAGTAAGATATTACAGACTAGATTTTACTAAATTAATGGCACAGTAGATCATGCTTGTAATCCCAGCACTTTGTTTGGCCAAGGTGGGCAGATTGCCTGAGCTCAGGAGTTCAAGACTGACATGGGCAACACTGCAAAACTCCGTTTCTAAACAAACAAACAAAAAATACAAAAATTAGCTGGGCATGGTGGCATGCACCTGTGGTCCCACCTACTCAGGAAGCTAAGGTAGGAGGATGGATTGTGCCCAAGAGGTCGAGGCTACAGTGAGCCAAGATCATGCCACTGCACTCCAACCTGGGCAAAAGACTGAGATCCTGTCTAAAAAAAGAGAGAGAGAGAAAGATTTACTTGCTTTTGCTATTTAAGGCCAAATTAATTTAGGCTTTACCACCCAAGGTTAAGCTTTTTACTAACATTCTCTTTAGAAACACAAAGACAGCCAGCTCCACAGACGGTCATTATATTGCAGGCCAGAAATGTGCAGCTAGTTAATTCTACCTGTGACTCCTACCCCTATAACTCTTGGGCTTTATTCAAAACACAAACCATTCTGGCCAACTACCCTCTGACCTATTTGCATGCAGTTATGCTTTCTCATGTACTTCATTTGGTCTCCCACTGCTGCCCTTTCTTCCAACCTCTTCCACAAGGACCTCTGGAAATCCCTCTTATGTAAGTAAAACAAATCATCTCTACATTCTCAATTTCATCACTGACCAACTCTTCAACCACTGGGCTAAATCTGGCTCTTGAAAATAATGCTCTATCTAGAGTGTAGGGTAAAGCAGTAGAGACAAAATTTTCCAGAGTGACACTTCGAGACCCTCACAAGCAATCCCCTTCCTTCCCTGTGATGTCACCTCTGGCTGTATGACCCTCTTCTTCAATTTGTCACTCAGTATCTCACTCTATTTTTTCTAACCTGGGTCCAGACTCATTACCTTGGATGCATGCTACCTGTTCTTTCTCAATTCTAGTCGCTTCTTATCTCCAGTTTCGAAATCTTGGTTATCTCCTAAACTATAAATCCACCTAGTATGCTATTTCTTCCTTCAGCTTCATCACCTGCAAAGTCCTTAATCCAGTTGCTTGCTAGAGAAAAATCACACAACCATGTGAATTGATCCTGCTGGCTTTTGCTATTTAAGGCTAGACGCTGAATGCTGTGCAGCAACCCTTTATGCACCATTCATTAATCAGATCCTTCTCCCATAATTCACACTGCCTTTTTTCTCAATCTTCTGCCACTCTACCTCTTCCACCCCTACTAGGGGTAGAATGGAATAGAAATTTCTTCATGTTTTCCTTACCCATTTGTGTAAATTGTTTATATTGTGAAAATACAGGTTGAGTATACCTTATCCAAATCCTGGGTGTTCCAGATTGTGGATTTTTTTCGATTTGGGGGTATTTGCATGGCACTTACTAGTTGAGAATCTGAAATCTGAAAATCTGAAATTCAAACTGCTCCAGTGAGTACTTCCTTTGAGCTCATGTCAGCATTCAAAAAGTTTTGTAATGTGGAGCATATCAGATTTTCAAATTTGGGTTGCTCTACCTGTACTATTTATTTTGCTTACTTTTAACATGTTCTCAGTCTTAACATTGGCCCTTAATACAGAAGTTTTTATTTTCAGGTGGATGGATTTGTCCATCATTCCCTTTTTCATATCTTTTATTATTTCTCTGTTTTGAAATTTCTGCCCCTTTAGTGATAGTAGATAATACTCTGATTTTCATTTTTCTATGGACTAACCTTCTCAATACTTCATTTCATATAATGTATAGAAAGATTTGGCTCTAAACTGACCTACATTTCAAATTACCAACCAGTTTTTCCTAGCAACATCATCATCCCTTGGTTTACAAAGTTTCTTCTTTTATATCTCATTTGTTTGCCTGTAAGGTGGGTGTCTGAACTATAATCTATTTAAATAATTATTGTTTATTTGTAGGTTTTAATTTGTGATAAGAATATTCTTGGTATTTTTATCTATTTTTTTCTGACCATAAATACATCTTATCAGATTCCAAGGGTATTTCTGGTGATTTTATGAGTAAGAAATGGCTGCCTTGCTCACTCCAAGTACTGTATATTTCTACAATAGTTTTTACCTATTCAAAGTGCTCCTTTCTGCTTTGAGGGATTATCCAAACTACTACTGCATCTAAAACCAAAACCTTCCTAATTGTGCTAGAAAGCTACCTTTTTACATATTTTTTTATCTGGAGCCAGATTCATAAAACCTTGTCCTTCGCAATTTTCCACTTTGTATTCACTCTCTCGTTGGTGAAAGCTGGCTTATGTAAAATAAAAGCATCTCACATCCAAGTTTTGTTTCATAGACTAACATTTTTTATTGGCTCTGAAGAACTTTTCAGATCTTCTTATCTTTCAATGTCTACATAGTTATTTCTACTGGTTTTCATTTTTTGAATACATGCTATATTCATGATTTAAAAATCAAAATGATATAAAATGAAAGCTATAACTAAAAAGTCTCATTCCCATATCATCCACATGCAGCTCACTTTACCCTTGCTTACTGTAGGTTACCACTTTTATTAGTTTCTTGTATATTCTTCCAGCAATTCTTTACGCAATACAAACACAATCTTATTCCTCTTGCCTTCTGACACAAAATATTCAGTTTTGCATCTTACTTTTTATTCACCAGTATGTCCTGGATATTTTTCCAAGTTAGGAAATGTTTCTTCGCAGCTTTTACAGCTCTACAATATTCCACTATGTAAATATATACTAGTTTGTGTAACCAATCCTTGTTTTTCAAATATTAGATTTTTATATATTTAAGTCTTGTTTCTGACAATAATTTAGTTAAAAAGCAACAAATACATGAACCAAACAGCACAGAAACCTGTGTGGTATGATTTCACAAATTGTATTCTCTTAATAAACATGAGCTTCCCTGTATATTATTTTATCTTTTATCTCAAGTTTACTCTATGATCGTATCTAAAAATCCAACAACCATTATGCTCATAAACTTGCAAAACCTTAAAGATGCCCAATCTCACTGAGGGTTTCAATGGGCCTGCAAAAAAATGAAACACGTTCTAAAAGAGACACAGTCAAGAATGTTCCATTCTACTTATTGGAATTAGGAAAGGTTTCATGGAGGAAATAGCTTGGGTTCAATCCTAAAAGATGAAGTGATTGAGAGGCAGATAAGGGAAAAGGGAAAACATTAAAGGAGGATCAGCATAAACATAATTTTTAAATAACATACCTGTCAAGAACTCTAAGTAGTCCCATTTCTGCTTAAATGCAGAAAGCCACAAAACAATGTCGCTCCCACTCTAAGAGAAAAAAAAAAATCCTATCTATAAAATCAAAACTTCTCTTGATCTAACAAAGAGTGGAGGTCACAAGGCAACCAGTAAATTTAATAAAACTTCAAGTAAATTTTATTTCTCTCCTTGGAGGGATAAACTCCTCCAAGGAAAGACTATACACAAACTGTCTGACCTTTGTCAGGTCACAGAAAAAGAAGTGGCCACTATACAACAGTATAAGAAGAAAGCTAAAATTTTAACAAATTCTTAAAGACCAAGTGTAACCTACTATGTCAGTTTAGAATAGCTGGAGACCTCAGACATAAGGAAAGTTCTCACTCACTTGCAAGATTTTCCTCATGCCTTGACCAGGCGGTCACATGAAAGATTAGTATAATACTAGAAAGAGAAACCCGAGACAGCCCTCATCATTAGGGGAAGTGTGCAGGAGGTGTCTAGGACAAAGCCGAAGCCTGATTCCCCAACTGTTCTGTAACAGAGAAAAAAAGCTTCAAACCACTAGGAGAAGAACAGAAAATCCTCTAACCAAAGGTCCTGGCAGAAATCCATTGCTTCAGGGCAGAATAGAAGCAAAATGCCTCTGCTTCTGGGGAAGAGGTACTCTTCCCTGGGACAGGGAAAGATATAATGTTGTTAGGAGAGGGGTAGAGGCAAAAGAACCTCTGCCATGATGGTAGAATACAGAGCAGGAAAAAATCTTAGGCAAAAAATCCTGCACCAATACCAAAGACTTCTACTACTACTAGGGGAAAGAAGGATATTCCTGTCCATGACCTACCACAAATACAGGGAACAAAGGGCAGGCTACAAGGAAGAGAGGGCAGTTAAGGCTGAGAGAGCCCAACTGATGCCCAGGACAAATGGCCTGAATATAACTGAGTCTGAACCAGAACAAAAGAGAAGCCTGCTCTGCACCACAAGCATGGCACTAAATAACCCACAATAGGCAATTGCTGGGAGAGGGTCAATAACATAAGGAGAAATACTGATACTTGTATTGCACAGATGTGCAAAGACTGTTGGAAGATGAGGATAGTACAGGAACACAGAGAGAAATCTTGCAGAGTGACATGCCCTCTAAACACAAGGGACCAGCAGCCAACTGCAGGAGAAATACGAAGCCTGTGCTTCACTGAGAGGGTAATGATGGTGACAAAACCCAAAATCAGCTCAACTCTTGAGTACACTGATTCAACCTCCAGCACAAACAACCTGACAGAGGCAGCAGCAAAAGAGGATCACCTTAGTGTCTCTT